GGCGGGCGCAAGAGCGGCGCCGCTGGCAGGATGTAGCGCTTCGCTGCGGACGGGGGCTACCATGCGGCAGCGTGCTGACGCGATCGGCGAGGAAGAGAAGCGTCGCCCCCGCGAACGACGGCAGTGCTGGGCTCGCGAGTCAGTCGAGACAGGCGGCCGTGATGCTCGCGAGTTTTCTAAATTATATGCTGCGCTGCATGGGCAAAGGGGGCCTGGTGGCGAGCCGATTCAAAGCGACCCGGCAGTTGGGGCCTTGCTCGGCAGATTGCCAGGCCACTGGCTTGACGGCATGGAACCTGAGAGCTCAGCCGCGCGGGCGGAAACCGAAGAGGTGGAGTTGCCCAGGCCGTCGCTGGCCAGGCGCAGGCGGGCGCTCGTTCGGCTCGTCCACAGGATTGGTCTAGGGAGCGACTCTGTCAGCCCCCGCTCTTACAGCTGCGGGGGCGCGCGCCTTGCCGGCCAGGTGCGCGGCCGACGCTAATATCTGTTCAATCAAAGAAGGAGGCGGGCTTCGGCCGATCGCTTCGACTGCGAGCCTCGCCCGTGCGCGGGGCCGCTTGCGCCGGGGCGTGGCGCGGGAATGGGAGCGCGAGCGCAGTCTTGCAGTGCTTTGGGGCATTGGAGACAGGTCGTCCGACGGAGCTGGTTTGGAACGCAATCCAGTTGGTTTCTGCGGCCGCTCGATCTGCGCAGCGACTGCGCAGAGGCCCGCGCGTTTGCCCCCTGCGGGCCCCTGTGCCAGGAAGGCGCAGCGGTCGGTTTCAACTTGGAATTGCTCCGGGCAGCGCGCGCGCCGCACAGTGGGCCCAAAGCGCGCGCCTTCCAGGGCTGCCGTGGCGACGCGTTTTCTGTCGGAGGCGGCGCAGTGCATGCAGGTTGCAGTTTAGCCACGACGCTGATGGAAGTTTTGCTGCATCGTTCGCTCGAAGGCACTGCTCGATGCCACCCTGCCGGCCGGGCTGCTGCGTGACGTGGTTTATGATTTGTCGGGCCCGTGCGTTGGGGCAGTCTAAGGGGGTGGCGAGAAATTTTGGCGCCGACGTTGCACCTGTCGGGCGTCGCAGGGCGCCAGTTGTTAGCGCCGGGACTCGCAAGGGCCTCCGCCGCTCCTCGAGGCCCCGCGAGCTGCGGGGGGCCAGCGCGAAGATTAGTTCGATGCGCCGCTCGGGGCATCAAGTTGGCAGCTTGTTTTGAGGCGCTGCGATGGGTCTGCCCGGGGGGGCGTCTGCGCGGCATGGGGCCCCGGGCGGCGCGCGGCCGTTCTAAGGATAGAAAGACTTCCTCGGTGGGGCTCAGGCCCGCGTCTTGCCCCCTGGGATCCCAGATTGACATTGCCGAGCTCGTCCGCGGACGCGATGTTCCAACGCGGGCCAGGGCCGTCTGGGAAGGGCCGCCCCAGTCTCGGCATCACCCAGACCTGCAGCGCAGCGGCTCGCGGGCGCCCGCAGGCCTCCAGTCCGACGCGGGAGGCCGCGTGCTCGCCAGACCACGTCCTGCTGCTGACCTAGTCCGCGTTCGGGTGGACGGGGGGATCCGGCCAGCATGCCCCAGCGTAATTTCGCATGCTGGCGGAGAGAGCGGCGCTGGCCAGATCAGATGAGGCAGCCTTAAGTAATCATCAGCGCGCTGGAACTTGGATGTGCCCAATTTGTTGGACACCGCTCCGAGCCGCGATCAAAGGCGAGAGTGCCGAGGCGGGCCGAGCATTAACAAAGCGCGGTGCGCTCTTTAGTTTCGATGTCCCGTTGGCCCCGGCAGACGCAGTGCGATTGCGGGGCCACTAGCGACGGCGCCTGCCTTGCCTGTGACGGGGCCCCAGCAACCTTGTTCCACAAAAGAGCGCGCTGCAGCGTGGTCAGCTGACAGAAGCCAGTCTGGCGAAGCCCGCGCGATCTCGGCTCCGAAGCAGTTCGAGGCGCGGGGTCATGAGACCGAGTTAGCAGCTAGTCGGGTGTTTCCCAGCCCCATGCGCCTCGCTCCTTCTTCCTCCACTCTATCGACCCCGAGTTGCAGGTTTGGTGGGGCCATCGCCCTGCGTCGGGGCTCTTGTCAGGCGGCATTTGTGTCAGTGATGGTTTGGCGTTGCACCCAGACTTCGCATTTTCTCGAAGGGCGGGCTGGGCCCTAGTGACGACTGGCGCGTTTGGGAGATTCTCGTGCGCATGGGGGTGCGCCTGCCGACCTTGGCCCGTTCCAGCAGGCCAGAGGCGGCGAGGGCGCTGCCCTCCTTTCATGTGCGTGGTTGCGTGCAGGAGCCTGTTGGGTTTTACATTGTCTGTCAGGGTACGGTCGATTGCGCTTTGTCCCCCGTCCTGGCCCAGGATTCGAGCAACCCCAGAGCCCACCTCTGGGCCAGAGTGTGGCCACGTTTTGATGATAGGCTTGTTGTGCACAAGGCCGAAGGCCATGCTTCTCAGGGGGGCGCGGGGTCGGAGAGGTTGTCGGAGCGGGGGCGGGAAGGGGCAACCGTCCGGCCGACCAGAATGCGCGCAGACGAGCTAAATGCCATCCTGACCGTTCTGCTGCATCGCGCGAGATTGCGCCCTTGTCTTGTTATGCTCAGGCGGTGTCCAGCAGCCCGCCCGTAGCCCCCCGCCCGCAGCCCCCCGCCCAGTTGGTGTCTAGCGGTCGCTGAAGGTTTCACTTTGAAGTCCCTGGAAGAAGCGTCCAGGCCCGTGGCCCTCAGGATTACGAGCCCCGTCTGCTGCTCCAGTTCCCGGGGCATATCTATCCGTGTTGCCGATGCTTCCGACGCCCAAGGGGCCACGGTTTTGTCTGGACCCCAGAGCATGGTGCGCATTGCTTGTGGAGGCTGCGCCTGGTCCACGGCCCAGAGCCACACACGCACACACACAAAGCACACAAAGCACACAAAGCACACACACACACAAAATACACTCGCAGGCAGGTTGTCCGAGCGCGGGAGTGGAATTTCCCTCTTGGGAGGCCCCGTAGAAAAGGCTGGAGGGCGGGCCGCCTGCTAAAGCCAACTGCAGCCGACTGGCTGGCATTAGTTGCCCCAGAGGTCTCAGCATTGCTATAGCACTTCCCTCCTGTTTGCCCATCCTCCCTGTTTTGGGCCCGAGGTTGCCGAGGGAGGGGATGCTGATGCGATTTGGATTGCGCTCCGATCAGCCTGATGTTTGGAGGCCGTCTGGGCATATTTCCCTCCCCCGCGCGGAGGGAGAAAAACTCTGGCTCTGATTGCGTGATCGGCCTCTTGAGGTGCACCTGACATCGTCGCGCGCTTAATCCGATATACATATATATATATATATAATATATATATATATATATATATTGGTAGCTAGCTATATAATTGTACATACAGAGATAGACAGAGCGATGGCTAGACATCGACATGCATACATATATATATATTATATATATATATATATATATATGTACACACATTCATACATATATATATATATATATATATATATATATATATGTATGTGTATATATATCATTATATACACCAATATATATAATATATATGTATGTATATATATATATATATATATATATATATATATATATAAATTGTAGTGGCCTTCGGCCAGTGCCGCCGATCCGGGTCGCTTGGGTCAATAGAGCCATCTCGCAACAGTGGTTCTATCAACGGCGGGGTGCCTGCAGTGACCGTGGGGACGGGAAATAATAACGACATGCAAATTCCATACAGGAGGCCGATCACTTTGGAAACTCACGATACGTCTTGCGCGGAGTCTTGTTACGAAACATGTGGCCTGGACGATGTGGTGCGAGCGGTGGAGGCGAGCCTATCGGCGCAAGGACGCCCTTTTGGGGCGTTTTTTGAGCCATCTTAGGAGCCTGTCAGGGCGTCGTGGGGGATTCTTGGAGGCTTTTAGGGGCCCTCTTGGGGGCTCTTGGGGCCTCCTGGGGGCTTCGTGGGCTGGAAGGCTAGATTTTTTCCGCTTTTCGTCCCTCTTTTGGGTCCTCTTGGGGCCGTCTTGGGGGCCTCTTGGACCGTCTTGGGCGGCTCTTGGGCCGCCTTGGGGCCCTCTTGGGCCGTCTTGGGACTGTCTGGGGGCCTCCTGGGCCGTCTTCGAGCGGTCTTGGGGGCCTTTTGGGCCGTCTTGGAGCGTCGGGAAGCAGAAAAAACGGTTACCCCATAAACATTTTAAACATCAAATTGCAATCAATGACTTTTGCCTCTGGGGGCCCTCGTGGGAGGCCTCTTGGAGGCCTCTTCAGACGTCTTGGAAGCTTTGGACCGTCTTGGGGCCATCTTGGGCGTGTTCGGGCGATCTTTCGGGGTCTCGGGACTTTCTTAGACCGTCCTCAGAGACTTTTGCGGCCGCGGCAACCCTTTCAGCACATCCTCGAGATTAGAGCCTTCTGTAAAAGCAGCCCCCCGCGACCGCCGGAAAACTCGTACCTTCCCCCCCACCCCACCCCCCCTTCCCCAGCAGAGCCACCCCGGCAACCACCCCAGAGGCTGAGGCTCAGCCTCGAGGCTGTAGCTGAGACTCCTTGAAACTCACACGCCAGATCGGCGGATATATATATATATATATATAGAAAGAGAGAGAGAGAGAGAGAGAGAGAGAGAGAAAGAGGGGGTGGTACAGAATTCTACCGATATGTACATATATTTATATATATATCACATGCAGATGCAGATAACGGCAGATAGTGTGTATATATATACATGCACATAAATTGATATAACGAAATACACATATGTTGTCAGTTCGACCTATATATGCACATGTATATCTACATCACTATACATATATTTATACATACATTTAGAGGAGGAGGGCCAGGAAGAGGGCAAGGACGAGCAGGTGGAGGAGGAAGGGGAGCCGCCTCCTCCTCCGCCTCCTCCTCCTCCTACCCCCCGCATCCTCCACCTCCTTCTGTTTCCTGCCACCCTTCCTCCCTGCACCCTCCCGTCCCTGCCCCCCTCCCTGCCCGGTCCTCCTCTTCCCAGCCCTCCCTGCACCTCATTCGGGCATCGCTGCAGCGAGGTCCTGGGACAATTACAACAGCATCCGGACCCAGAAGGAGACAGGGTGCCGCTGGGTCCGGGAGCGTTCGGCGGGCCCCGTTCCAGGCCGCCCCGATCCACCTCCTCTTCATGTCTCTTCATTGCTCTCGTCCTCCTCCTCCTCCTCATCGTCTTTCTTCTCCTCATTATCCTCCTCCCCTTTTCCCCCTCCTCCTCGCGGTTCTCCTCCTCCTCCTCCTCCTACTCCTCCTCTTGCTTCTCCTCTACATCGCTCTCCTCCTCTTCCTCCTGCTCTTCAGCTGCTCCTCGTGCTTCTCCAACTCTACCTTTTGAGCCCCCCCCTTCTGCTCTGGCCCCCCTCCCCCCTCCTTTAGCTCCTCCTGTTGCTCGGCAGCCGCGTGCGCAGCACCGCGGCGAAGCCGTCGGAACGCAGCCGACGCGCGTGCGCGGAGCATTCGGCACCGCAAGGGAAGCGGCCTCGATGGGACACTCCTAGTGGGCCCTCCTCCCTTTCCTGCCCCCACTTCCCGCCCGAGTGGTCGCGGGGGCCTGCGCGCTGCTCACGTGCGAGCTGCAGTGCTGCGACAGCGGCGCTCGGAACCCGCAGTCACGGCACGCTTGATGCCGACGTCCCCTTGTGTTCGGATTGGATTGAGCTCTCCCACCTCCTCCTTCTGATCCTTCCCCTCCATATGCTCCAGGTCACCTTTGCTGCCATAAGGGTGCTTTGCTGGGGTGACAGTGTGCCAGGTCGGCTACGGCGCGCGTCCGTTGATAGAGACACATCAGCGCAATGGGAAGGGATGGGATGGAGTGAGCTTGGCTCCTCACCACTCCCCCGCCTCCTGCTCCCGCTCCTTCTCTTCCTCAGGGCCGCCCGACGCCTTCCTTCTTAGATCTCAGGGGTCGCCCTTTGGCGAGTCGCCCAGGGGGGATCGACTTGCATACCGTGCTTTCCGTGCAAACGCCCAGTGCTCGTTTCATGTTCGATGTTTCTACATTTGGTCATCCTGTGGCCAGATACAGTCAGATGTTAGAGAACTTAGACGAATTGAATCAGGCATGTACGACATGTACATGCGTCGGTTTCCGAACGTCGAGTCAACAAGGGCCCAGGAGTCAAATGTTCCCCTGGATGCTCGTTCTTGCCTGAGCTACCAATCTTCGGTTCTTGGAGGGGTCTCAGGGCTGTCCTGGGGCCATCATGGGCCGATCTTGGGTCCTCATGTGGCCGTCTGGGGCCGGCCTTGCGCTGTCGTGGGGCCGTCTTAGGGGTGCCGTGGGCCAGGCCGTGGGCAGTGGAAATGTGTAGATCTCGTCCCCCTCAGTCAGTCCGCCTCCTTTTCTCGTCTTTCCCATCCCTCACATTCCAGGCTCGCGGGATCCCCTACAGTTATATTTTTCATCATGGCACTTGTTTACTTCCTGGGTGTCTTTTTCCAACCATCGAGTGCTTACTTAAGAAAGTGGGGGGCTGAGAGTCGTCGCGCGTTCGGGCGCCGATGCGATTGCTGGGCGCCGTGTCGCTTCAAACAGGTATCGTTGGTGCTGTTTCATTTCTACATCGTTTGCGCATTGGCGGAAGTGCCGCCGCCTCTTTATTCGTTCGTCAAGGTTTCGGTGCCGTGCCGCCACCCTTGGGGGCGTCAGCCCTGCTCCAGCTCTGCTCCTCTTGCCTGGCGTGTTCATTCCCGGAGCTTACTCGTCTCACTTTGACCCGGCGTCCCTATCGTCCTTCAGTTTCATCTTCTTCAGCCCTCCCGCTATTCGTCATCCTCGTCGTCTTCGTTCCCCCGCCCTCGTATTTTTCAGTTCCTCATTCGTCATGATTTTTCGCTTCTACTCCGCCTCCTCCTCCTCGCTCGCCTGAGTCCACTGAGAGGCAATTGGGACCCCAGTTGGGCCTCCTCGGGGCCACATGGGGGATTTCCAAGTGCCCCCGAGTTAACGTGCACGGTGCATCCTGATTTCCTGCCCCTTCGGAGCCATCTTGGAGTCCGCCTGAGGGCTTCTTGGGGCTCTCCTTCAAGCTTGTTCTGGGCCCACTGGGGCTCTCCGAGGGCCCCCGAGTCCAGATGCAGTGCGTATTGGCGTTGGGCCTTGCGGGGGCCATCTTGGAGCCCGTTTGACGGCCTTCTGGGGCCTTCCCGGGGGCCTCCTCCAGGCGCCGTGGGAGCTCCTGCACAGTGCATGTTTGTTGACTCTTAGGCCCTGCTGAAAGCGTCTTGGGGCTATTCGGGAGCCTTGAGACGGGGGTCAACGCAAGCGGTGGTCAGCCAGAGCGCCGGATTTTGCAGGATCCTGCAGAGCCAGGGTTGCATGGACCCAGGTCAGCGTGAAGGATTCTGCAGCATTCTGCAGGATCTGACACGGGTTTGGATTAACCCGGGTCCGTAGATCCCCGAGCCATTTTTGCCTTCCCCCCCGCCTCCAGGTGATTCGTGGGGGCTGCTCCCCGAGCCTAGATGCACGGTGCACTGGTACTTCAGTCTTGGGGGGGCCGTTCCGGAGTTCGCTTGAGGGCATCCTGAGGGCCCCGTGCGGGCTCCCCGAAGGCCCCCGAGTCAAGATTCTCGGTGCATCTTGATTTTGGGTCCGGTGGGAACCATCGTGGAGCCCGCATGAGGGTGTCTTGGCGCCCTCTTTGGGACCTTCTCAGGGGCAGATGATAAGGAGGATTACGAACATGATGAAGACGAAGGAGATGACGAGGAGAAGGAGTTGATAAGGAATACCAGGATGAGGAAGGGGGCAAAGATGAGGATCGCCTCGAAGAGGAGGCGGAGCGGGGCGGGGAGGAGATGGAACATGCACGCAGAGGTGGCTCCCGTTCCCACACCCACGTCCCGCCTTCTAGCATTAAGGGTCCCCTTGGGGGCTCTGCCAGATCCACCCCTGAGAGGTGGACTGCTAAGCGTGGACCCTTCCTTTTCGTATGGCACATTAACAATATAATGATGGGGGGCGGTTAGCTCAGGACCTGTCGGGAGATCTCTCGGAAACGATGAATAAAGGGTCCCCCCCCCTTCCAAAAATAACCAAAAGTCCGCCCCCTTTCAAAATTAAGGGTCCGTTCCCTTCTAAAATCTATGGGTCCAGCCCCTTCCGAAGAGTGAGGTTCCACAGATGGCCCAGCTGAACACACTAAGGGTCCACGTTTCGTCCTTGTTTGTATCGCTTTTCAGATGATACTTGCCGCTGTTCTGATGGCGGCGAGGGGTCTTCAGGGATCGACTGTGAGATCGATAGGGGGATCGACTGTGAGATCGATCGGGGGATCAATAGTGATATCGACAGTGGGATCGATTGAGTGACATGGATCGTAGGATCGATTGTGATACCGACCGTGAGATCGCGAGTGATATCGATGGTGAAATCGATGGTGAGATTGATCGTGATATTTGTAGTGCGATCGATTGTGCGATCGATAGTGACGTTGATAGTGAGTCGATAGTGGCATCGATAGTGACATCAATAGTGAGACCGATAGTGAGAGCGATCGTGAGATCGATCGTGATATCGACAATGCGATCGATAGTGAGATCGACTGTGAGATCGATCATGAGATCAATCGTGTTTTGTCGGTGGTGATATTGTTTGAGTGACCTGGGTTGTGAGATCGAAAGTGAGATCGATAGTGATCTCGATTGAGTGAGATGGACGGTGAGATCGAAAACGAGACTGGTAGAGATATCGACTAGGAAATCAGCAACCCGGGAATCAGAAGCTTGAGCCTTGGGAACCCCGCCGCCCACCGAAATCGGGCCGGAACCAGCAACCAGGAACCGGGGAAACCGGAATCAGCAACCCAGGAACCCGGCCGCCTTCAGTGCAGGCACCGATTGGGGAATTGCGACATGAGAGTCCGATATGAAACCACCGAGGCTCGAATCTAGAAGTCACTCTTTGACAGGAGCTGGAGCCAGGCATGAACAAGCTGCGCATCCACAGCTTTAGAACTCCTTGGCTTCATGGTCTCGCCCCACGAGCCTCCAGGGCGGCATCCCCCGCCCAGCCTTGGTTTCTGCTGCGCCTCCGCGCCCCCGCCCCCCCCCACCGGTAGGGCAGGGCAGTGCCGGGCAGAGCAGGGGCG